TCACACAAACATTGTGCTGAGGCCACCTATGCAAAATGGTAAAAGCCCCCAACAATGTGGAGCGCATTGGGATACAGCGGAATATTGAGAGGAGCTCACATGCTGAGTTAACTATATATTCAGGATTTACATTTATATATTCAGAGTTATAACTATATATTCAGATTTACATTTATATATTCAGAGTTATAAATATATATTCAGGATTTACATTTATATATTCAGAATTCTAACTATATATTCGGGACTTACATTTATATATTCAGAGTTTTGACTATATATTCAGGATTTACATTTATATATTCAGATTTACATTTATATATTCAGAGTTATAACTATATATTCGGGATTTACATTTATATATTCAGATTTACATTTATATATTCAGATTTACATTTATATATTCAGAGTTATAACTATATATTCGGGATTTACATTCATATATTCAGGATTTACATTTATATATTCAGAGTTATAACTATATATTCAGGATTTACATTTATATATTCAGATTTACATTTACACTGTAAAAAGTGAATATGGGTGTAAGTTGGATTACTAGAACTATTTGAGTCTATTTACTTCGTATTTCTGCTTTCCTAATCGTAATTGATTATTGTACACTCATTCAACTTGAACGCATAGAAATTCACAGACACTCAGATATCTCGCTTTCACCCAAAGTGTAATTTCCCTTTAAGGACCCTCGCGTCAGACGTTTTTTTGCTGACGTCATGACGCACGAGCCTGTCTGGAACTTTCTGCTCGACCGCCATTTTCTTTTTCGCACTCGGATGAATAAGGTAGGTTGGAAGTTTTGTTTTTTAATTAATATACTCAAATATGCAACTTTTGGACGTTTGTTTTAGTTGTTTATGAGTTAATGAATGTTGTTTGTGAACATGAATACTAACAAAATCGCAATTAACCACATTTTTAAACGTACGTTTGCAAACTAGCATTACTGAATTATAGTTCTATGCAAGTTAACGTTAAACATGATGTTATCTTTAACTTAACTCGTTTGTTTTATAAAAATGTGTTCAGTTTGGATCTTGGGACTTGTGTAACAGTTATTAAATAGTTTAAAAAAGGATAACCGTCTGTGCCGCGTGAGAAATTGGAAATGCTTTGGGCGGGAAGTGGTCGGGGAGCGGGACAAAATGCTCGAATTTGAATTCCTGCAGTACAATATTTGAGTTTTATTTTTTGTCTGTTCTTTTATTTGTCTTTGAAACGTTAGCTCTGACTTATTCATCGACTTTTTTCGCCCAAAATGATGCTGAAAGTCTGTGATAAACGCCATTGGGTGCATCTCAATCAGTTCATTAAGTTAACCAGGGCACTGATCAGGGAGTCAGCCCATTATTAACGTTAACGTTACCTGATTCCCTGATCTGTGGCCTGTGCTTAACGCTAGCTTAATTTGCCTAGCTCGAGGTGTTTCATGCAGGAAAACAAATCGGGGTTTTCTTTAAAATTATGATTTTTTTTGTAGAAAATAGTAGTATTTCACAACTAATTAATTACTTGACCTGTAGCAAACTATTTTTTACCACTTAAGTTAAATACTAATGATACAACATTTTTCTCTCCTTATGACCGAAAGCTTTTTCAAGTTTGACGATTGAGGACGACACTTTGCTATAACATTACATGGTAAGTATTTTCTATTAATTTAAGTAATTTCTAATTTCTTCTATTGATAATAGATAATATGAATTACTAATGTTGGACATGTTTGAGTAAATTCCATCTAATGTTGTCTAATGCTATTGACTTGCAATTTATCCTAAATAAGAATTTTGAACTAAAACTAAAAGAATTAAGAACTAAAATCGGCATCAACTCACCCTTATGACATCCCGAATGCATGTCCCTTTTTTGATTCTCAGAAATATCTTTTTTTAGTTTATACAGTGTAAACCAATTTTGAAGCTCAAAATGATTATGATGTGACATGTATTGTGCATGTAAAAGGTGCACAAGTACTGGCTGATTTAAAGGGAATAGTTCACTTTGAAATTAATTTTTGGTGTGTTTTAGCTTACCTCAAGGCAGGGCATCCAAGATGTCTTTGTTTCCACAGTATTTTCAATTTTGATATTTTTCGGTCAAACCGTTGTCTATCAGTCATATAATGCAGGTCTATGGTCACCACCTCAAAGAGCATGCAATGCAATGGAAGATTATTTCGATATATCTAAATATGTTTAGTGAAAGGTAAAACTTCTGAAATCTCTGTGTAAACAATGAGTGACGTTGACTTGCAAGCGATCACTTCCGGCGCGTGCGCAGACCGAAGCGCCCATGCCGTCAGTTCATTTTGTCATGGCTGTGTTACACGAGGTAAAAACGATATAAATACTGTTCGTTTTCTCACACAAACCGCTTGTTTCGTTTCTTAGGCCATCAATGTGTACTTACATTTATGAGTCATTCAATCATCTTTAATTTTTGACTTCTCTGTGTATGTTCTTTGAGGTGAACCTAAAAAAAAATTCTGTTTTGAACGGTAACGTAGACATCAGTGTTTATATCTGAATAATGATTTTTTTTTATACTTCTGTGATGTATATACTTTGTCCAGTCATTAATACAACCTTTTATAGTTTTGTAAATTAAGTTTTGTTTATATTTTCTTGTCCTTTGCTATCCTTGGGGAAATCTGATTCTCCATTACAGATTACTCCGAATTTTAAAAATAAGAAAAATAATCACAAATGCTTTTTCACAGACTGAAAACATTCACACGGAAAGAAGAGTGTCCTGAAGGCCCTCATCGTTTTCCTGGGGGAAAATCCGGTAACACTTTAAAATAATGGTCCGTAGTTAACAAGTAGCTATGCAGGAAGTAATAGGTAGCACTGCATTAACACCGAACTTAATACTATTAACTAATTTGGAAGCAATATTAACTAAGCATTAAGTAATAGGTAATTTAGTACAAAGGTAGTTCCTTGGTAGGTATTTGATTATTACTAAAGAAATATATCCTCATTGAGAACTACTACTCTTGCCAGGATGGACGCATGTTCTCTGTTTATTTAAAACTTAAACATAAAATAATACTAATAAAGACAGTTTTTAAAAATAAACCTTAAATAATTAGGAAGTGATGCTGACACTCTCATGATTGGATTAGTTCACTATTATGAGCTCTATTGAATGTCAGTCACATATATCTCAGACTCCAAAGACCTATAACTTTATGTTACAGTAGCTGCCTGAGGAGGACTTCTCTTTAGGACATGAATATAAACATGATGTTCACTTGTCAAAAACAATTTGCATCTTTAATGAAGAAATTGGCTGCATTTATGTTACGATAAGCGCGAAACCACATCTTCCAGATTACAGTGTTTGTTAGAATATTAGTGCCTCACAGAACCTGTACAGTATGTGTCAAATATAAAATTAAATAACTTGTATCATTTGTGAAAAACATGTTAACTCCTAACTAACTACAAGCGTTACCTTGTCATCCCACAATGTTTACACAAGTTATTTAATTTTATATTTGACACATACTGTACAGGTTCTGTGAGGCACTAATAATCAAACAAACACTGTAATCTGGAAGATGTGGTTTTGCGCTTATTGTAACATAAATGCAGCCAATTTCTTCATTAAAGATACAAATTGTTTTTGACAAGTGAACATCAATGTTTATATTCATGTCCTAAAAAGAAGTCCTCCTTAGGCAGCTACTGTAACATAGTTATAATAGTGGACTGATCCAATCATGAGAGTGTCAGCATCACTTCCTAGTTATTTAAGGTTTATTTTTTTTAAAACTGTCTTTATTAGTATTATTTTATGTTTAAGTTTTAAATAAACAGAGAACATGCGTCCATCCTGGCAAGAGTAGTAGTCACAATCTCAACCTAGCTAATGTATTTGGGGGGATATATAAACTTCATAAACTGGTTTCCACAAAGAACCCATTTGAGGCACATGCTTCTGAAATGTTATGATCATGTTAAGAGTATAAAACCCCCACAATTGTTCACTTTTTAGATATGTTACTTTTGTGATTTAGTAATTAATTGATTATTAATTCTTAGTTCGCAAGTAGTTCTCAATGAGGATATATTTCTTTAGTAACGATCAAATACCTACCAAGGAACTACCTTTGTACTAAATTACCTATTACTTACTGCTTAGTTAATATTGCTTCCATATTAGTTAATAGTATTAACTTCGGTGTTAAAGGGTTAGTTCACCCAAAAATGAAAATTCTGTCAGTATTTACTCTCCCTTATGTTGTTCCAACCCCGTAAGACCTTCGTTCATCATCGGAACACAAATTAAGATATTTAAGATATTAAGATCGCTCCTGCATACAGTCCGTAGGCTTCTTGAGGGACTGGCTCTTGCTGTCCTCGAAGTCATTAAAGACATCGTTAAAATAGTCCAAGTGACTACAGGGGCTCAATCTTAAGTTTATCAAACGACGAGAACACTTTTGTGCGCAAAAAAACAACAAAAATAACGACTTTATTTCAACTATTCGTTTATTTCTCCCTCTGCGCGAGTCAGGTTACTAGTTTAATAGCGTAAGTTTCTGTCATTGTACGTCACACGCATCACACACACATGACCAGCGTCGGCCAATAGTGAGCCTACGTGTGACGTAGCTCTACGCAATCACACTACGCTAACTGACTTACAGGCTCATGGAGAAGGAAGTGAATAGTTGAAATAAAGTCGTTATTTTTGTTGTTTTTTTGCGCACAAAAGTGTTCTCGTCGTTTGATAAACTTAAGATTGAGCCCCTGTAGTCACTTGGACTATTTTTACGATGTCTTTAATGACTTTTCGGGGACAGCAAGAGCCAGTCCCTCAAGAAGCCTATGGACTGTATGCAGGAGCGATTTTAATATCTTAAATATCTTAATTTGTGTTCCGAAGATGAACGAAGGTCTTGCGGGGTTGGAACAACATGAGGTTGAGTAAATACTGACAGAATTTTCATTTTTGGGTGAACTAACCCTTTAATGCAGTACTACTTATTACTTCCTGCATAGCTACTTGTTAACTACGGACCATTATTTTAAAGTGTTAACGAAAATCCTCAAGACCTTATCAAGGAGTACCTTGTGAGTTGAAATTCTGCATGTTCTATTTAGATTTTTCAGAAAGTTTAAATTTGTGTTTTGTAGTTATGACTGCAAAATGTTTATTTATTTATTTTTTTTTATGTACATTTCTTTAGGATAAGCAGCGAGATGATTGGGAGGGTGAGCTGGAGCAGTTCACCATGGCGGTGTATGTTATTCGGAAGGAGGGGGGAGAACATCACGAACCACCGGCTGACATAGGTGTCGTCATCGAGGGTGTTAAAGTTTTGAATGAACTGCCTTCGTTCACATCAGCTTGTGCCTTGCTTCTCGGGATGATATACATCATCAATCTGGCTTACCCAAAACCGCTTCGTTTTACTTTCGAGGTATTCCAGAAAGTTCTCTTGCAGCTTGAACAGCAAAAGATGTCACTAAAAGTTCAAAGTCTTTTCAGTAGACAACAGTGAACTTGCAGTAATGTTTGAATGTGCATATGTCTAGTCTGTGTTTGAAAGAATGTTGGATGTTTAATTTGTTTTCTTATGTTTGTAGACTATCCATTTGTTCATTCATACGTCTAGTATGAATGTGTAGTTGTTTGTTTGAATCTGATTGATTCACTTTAAATTTAGGGCATTACCTGTAAAGCTCTTCTCATACAGTATGGTTCTATTTGAAAGATTAAAGGGAAAGTTCACCCAAAAATGGTTCAAGTTGTTCCAAACCTGCATGAGTTAGTTTCTTCTGCTGGACACAAAAGAAGATTTGTTGAAGAATGTTGGTGACCTGGCAATTGAAGGCACCCATTGACTTCCTGTATCTTTGGAAGTCAACAGTCAAACAATTCAGAAGTCAACTGTCTGGTTACCAACATTCTTCAAAACATCTTCTTTTGTGTCCAGCAGAAGAAACTAACTCATGCAGGTTTGGAGCAACTTGAACCATTTTTGGGTGAACTATCCATTTAATTGTTTTTAGGTAGCTCATTTAAAGGGTTAGTTCACCCAAAAATGAAAATTAAGTCATTAATTACTCACCCCCATGCTGTACCAACCCTGTAAGACCTTCGTTCGTCTTCGGAACACAAATGAAGATATTTTTGATTAAATTTGAGAGCTGTATAACTACCAATCAATACGATTTCCACGACGCATGCGCGAGAATTGCGATCTCCTTCAACTACTTCAGTTCAGTTCACGCGCATGCGTCGTGGAAATCGCATTGAAGTGTCATTTCAGGCCAACAAGGAAGAAAAGGAATAGTAGAATAAAGTCGTTATTTTTGTTTGTTTTTTCACACAAAAAGTATTCTCGTCGCTTGATAAACTTATAGTTGAGCCACTGTAGTCACATGGAATATTTAAACATTTTCTTCATTGACTTTCTGGGCCGTCAAGAGCCAGTCCCGGCAGTCTATGTGGTAGTGATACAGCTCTCAAATTTAATCAAAAATATCTTCATTTGTGCTCCGAAGATGAACAAAGGTCTTACGGGGTTGGTACAGCATGGGGGTGAGTAATTAATGACTTCATTTTTGGGTGAACTAACCCTTTAAGGGCATAACCACTATGTTTTTATATTTATTTTTATACATATGTTGGCTTATGCAGTTTTGAGCATAATTCAGTGCAAAGGCAACTTTGCAAAAAAACTGTTAATGGAACAAGTGTGTCAGTAAATGGAATTTCATTGGCACAACAAATGTTTGTAAAAAAAATTCTCAAAGTTTGTAATATGAAAAATACCGATGGTGTATAAAATGAATTAATGTTAATAAATATTTCTCCAGCAATTTGAGTCTTCTGTGATTGACCTGAAATTAAGTTGAGAAAATAAAATAATTTAAGTTGAGAGAACTTATTTTTTTTAGGTGTTACCAATTGAAGTAATTTTTTTAAGTTGATCCAACTGTAGGAAAAATTAATAAATTTAAGTTGGAATGCAGTGAAATTAAGTCAGACTAATGTAAATAATAGGATTGAGTGAACTCAAATAATTTAAGTGTGATTGACCTAGTAAAATTAAGTTGAGAAAATGTGATAATTTAAGTTGAGAGAACTTAATTTTTTTAGGTGTTACCAATTGAAGTAATTTTTTTAAGTTGATCCAACTGTTCACTTTTTACAGTGTATATATTCAGAGTTATAACTATATATTCGGGATTTACATTTATATATTCAGATTTACATTTATATATTCAGAGTTAATAACTATATATATTCGGGATTTACATTTATATATTCAGATTTACATTTATATATTCAGAGTTATAACTATATATTCGGGGATTTACATTTTATATATTCAGATTTACATTTATATATTTCAGAGTTATAACTATATATTCGGGATTTACATTTATATATTCAGATTTACATTTATATATTCAGAGTTAATAACTATATATTCGGGATTTACATTTATAATATTCAGATTTACATTTATATATTCAAAGTTTATAACTATATATTCAGGATTACATTTATATATTCAGAGTTATAACTATATATTCAGGATTTACAATTATATATTCAGATTTACATTTATATATCAGAGTTATAACTATATATTCGGGATTTACATTTATATATTCAGATTTACATTTATATATTCAAAGTTATAACTATATATTCAAGATTACATTTATATATTCGGAGTTATAACTATATATTCAGGATTACATTTATATATTCGGAGTTTTAACTATATATTCGGGATTACATTTCATTATTTCCTGTTTGGCCCCCATAATAATATATATAATAACTGAATATATAATTGTATATATATATATATATATACTGTATATATATATATATATATATATATATATATATATATATATATATATACTGTATATATATATATATATATATATATATATATATATATATATATATATATATATATATATATATATGTATATATGTATGTATGTATGTATGTATGTGCATATATGTATCTATGTTATAAAGGAACAGGCTATAACGTTTTAAAGTTATTGAACAATATTCAATTATTGTTCAATTCAATTATTAATATTGCGTTTCCCAGAGAGGTTGGAGGGGGGTGGCCGTTTTTTCCCTTCCAAAAAACGAAGTCAAATCCTGACAAGTGTTGTCTTTGGATTAAACTGTATAGACGTCCTCAGATAAGCTAATGCCCTCAAAGATCAACAAGCACATTTTTTTTGCTTCTAACCTTCCTGTGAAGTTATACTAGTTAGACCGTTTTATAATTGTTTTAGGTTATGATTTTGGTTATCATACCGCTGCTAATAAATACAACGTTATACTCGTGTAGTTCGTTTACTTTGTAATAACGATAATGGAAGTGAATAGAGACCTACCCAGCTTTGCATGAACAGTGTTGCTCCCTGATATTGTTGTTAGTCCCAGCCACCGTCTCGATTAGTAAGATATGCGGTGGTTCATTTTTTGACTGTGACCGGTAACGTTATCCTTTTGCCTCTATTTGGATGCCTTGTTGTTTCTTGCGTTTCACCTGTATGTCTTGAATATAGCCTTCGAACGTATATTGCAGCCCCTTTTGCCTACTTCTATCGGACTCTTTATTTGCTGCTTTATAAAAGTTTGATAACGTTTCAGCAGGAAGAGCTGTCACTGCATAAGCCATATTGTTACCAAACCAGAGCCCCCGATGAAGTTTGACGGAAGTAGCAACAGTAACTAAGGGGGGCGGGGCTTAGCCAAAGGTGAATTGGCACTAAGGGGCCTAAAGTGTGCCACAAAAACATCCCCCACACCATTACACCACCACCAGCAGCCTGCTTATTGGTATCAAGGCATGATGGATCCATGTTCTCGTTCTGTTTATTCTGTTAGTCAAATTCTGACTTTATCATCTGAATGTCTCAAGACCAGGCAACATTTTTCCAGTCTTCAACTGTCCAGTTTAATGAGCTCTTGCAAATTGCTCTTACTTTTTCCTATTTCTAGTGGAGATGAGTGGTACCCGGTGGGGTCTACTGCTGTTGTAGCCCATCCGCCTCAAGGTTGTGCTTGTTGTGGCTTCACAAATGCTTTGCTGCATACCTCAATTGTAACGAGTGGTTATTTCAGTAAAAACTGCTCTTCTATCAGCTTGAATCAGTCGGCCCATTCTCCTCTGACCTCTAGCATCAACAAGGCATTTTTTGCCCACAGGACTGCCACATACTGGATGTTTTTTTCTTTACACACCATTCGTGGTAAACCCTAGAAATGGTTGTGCTTGAAAATCCCAGTAACTGAGCAGATTGTGAAATACTCAGACCGGCCCGTCTGGCACCAACAACCATGTCACGCTCAAAATTGCTTAAATCACCTTTCTTTCCCATTCTGACATTCAGTTTGGCGTTCAGGAGATTGTCTTGACCAGGACCACACCCCTAAATGCATTGAAGCAACAGCCATGTGATCGGTTGATTAGATAATTGCATTTATGAGAAATTGAACAGGTGTTCCTAATAATCTTTTAGGTGAGTGTATACTGTATACTGTATATATGTATATATATATATATATATATATATATATATATATATATATATATATATATATATAAATTACTTCATTGGCATTAAAATAATTATGCATTTTCTACATATTTTTATGGCTGTTCAGTATATGTATATGATCCTGTATTTATAATATGTATATACATATATTACAGCAATGGTATTTTGACTTGAAATGCTCCCTCATTTTCTATATTCAATGTATTTTTTTCTTGAAATATTAGACAATTTTTGTGACAATCAGCCATGCACATTTTCACTACAGTCTCTTTTTGCTTTGTGTTTAAATGCTAGAGTAGACATAAATTATCTTACCCAGGGCCAGTAAAGAAACTCAACCAAGCCTCACAATTTACTCTCATTTCCCTGATGCTTTATCAGGCGTGAAGTGGAAACACACTGATATGAGCCATGAGCATCATTTAAAAATCCATGGAACATGTCTTTTTATTTAGGGCGACTTTAATAGTCATTTTTCTAGGGGAAAAAACTTTAGAGGGGATGCCAACATTTTTGTAAAACTTTTAACCCAACATATGAGCAGGAAGAATAGAACAGACCATTTATTTTGTCTGAAAAGGCGCGTTTCAGGCTAAATTGATTTTGATTCTCTTTCTAGGTATGACACCATCACTAACCAGTGGGAGATGGTGGCTTCTTTGCCCAAACCTGTCCATTCTGCAGCAGCAACTGTCTGTGGAGGGAAGATCTATGTGTTTGGAGGAGTGAATGAGGCCGGTCGCTCTGCTGGAGTGCTTCAATCATATGTGCCTCAAACCAACGCCTGGAGCTTTATTGAGTCGCCTATGATCGGTAAGAGCACTGCGGAAAATTACCGAGCCACCTGACTATGTTGTTCACCTGCTGTCTTCTGTATTTTGTGTGTGTGTGTATATATATATATATATATATATATATATACAAGTGTTGAAAACTTTGGTGTCAGTATGTTTTGCTTTTTTAATACTTTCAATAAGCAATGATGCAGTAAAATTATCAAATGTGGCAGTAATAATTGCTATTCTTTTGAACTTATTCTTTTGCCTACATAAAATATCCCCCCAAAAATGTATCATAGTTTCCATAAAAATATGAAGGCATGTCTTAAATGATTTGTTCAGCCTATTAGAATGGTCTGAAGACTGGAGTAATGATGCTGAAAGTTACTGGGGATCACAGGAATAAATCATAAAATAAATTGAAAGAAAAAACAATTATTTTAAATTGTTATAATATTACTTCTGACCGGATGGTGCCAGCAGCATGTTATCTGCTATGTCACATGGCTCACGAGACAGCACATCCAAATCCAACAGATCGCTCAAACCGGTTACTGAAGAACATGAAAGGGCTATGCCTTTTACGAATTCCTCAGCCAGCTCAACCTGTGATCCTCACGACACCAACCTCCATTGTGCCTCGGCTACAGCAGGGCCCGAGCCACGATGCACACATGCTGGTTCCTCAACTCTCAAAAATGAAGTCCAGCGTGAACGGAGCTTCCTCGCTCAAAACGGGACATTCAGAGCCTCAGAACACACCTAAGTCCGAAGTGAGCCGCAAGCCATCTTTTGATGAACTTTTCAATCTCTATATTCAATGCACTAGCAGTACTTTAATTTCTTTACACTGATAAAAAAAGACCAATCACAATAATAGACTTTTACAAATCTTTCACCATCAACAAAAGCAATATTTACAATGCAAAGGTGGAACAGAAGTTGCTGTACATGTATTTCCCCCAAAAATTGCATACTGCAAATAAAACTAAATAAATAATTGGAGCGTGAAGCTGCAATATCATCCCAAAATCATTATTGTTGATTATCTCTTTCCCCGCCAGCGTTTTAAAAAAAAGTTGCCAGCCACCGCCAGGGTTTTTGACGATTTTCGCTAAATTTGAATGCCCCGCTGAATATTTTCTTCCATGAATATATGAAGATGATATATATAAAAATAAAGATCTGAGCCTCTGCTTTTAGGCAAAAAAAAACGTTTTTATTTTATCTTCATCTGTTCTTTTTTTATTGCCTCTTGAACAGAGGTAGGTTTTGTCAAAAACACAACATTTTGGACAAAAAACTGAGAAAAAGGTATTTTTATCAAACAAGTGCATTTAAAAGCAGAATACATTCAGATGTTGTTTCCTTCATATATAAAACTTTCCAAAATAAATTAAAAACATAAAATAAATGTAAAATATATCAAATTTCCCAGGATGTAAGGGAAATGTAACTTTTGCAATAAAACTTCTGCCTCTGCCTCTCTGTGTTCTACCTGTGAATAATGATTGGAATTACAATAAACAAGCCTAGACACACACACACACACACACACACACACACACACACACACACACCCACACACACACAAATACATATTACAATGTGGTAAATGTGCACAAAGAGAGAAATAATTTGACAATTACACCTTCATATTTTGACAGCCACACATAAATGCCTGCACACACACATAAATATTATAGTGTCATAATATTATACGATCTATCTGCGGCACGTCCATGGCTAGAACTTTCTGTGACAACATGTGCATCTCGCTCACTGACTACTTCGTCCCGATCAGATTCAGAATTATCAAATAAAGAGTGATCGGACTCCGAGTCCATTAACCTCCAGTACTTCAGCCATATACCTCTGCATTGTCTGTCTGATACATTCTCACTACTCCACTTTTTGAGACGATTGCAATCTGTTTCTCTGATCAAAGAGTTGCGCACTCATTCAGGACATGCGCGCGGGTCTTCCTTACCGTATACCACCTAAAACACGGATACCCGGAAAATTCCGTGTTTGGCGCAGATGCGTTTTTTCATTAAACCCGGAAAATTCCGTGTTTGGCGGGGAAAGAGTTATTGCTCCTGATATTGTAAAAGTAATCATTATTGTCGATTAATAGATTGCTTCTGTGGTGTGAAAAAGCATGTCATATTCTGGCTACAGACAAAGAAATGGGCTCTATGCACGGCGGCATTTCCGGTGAAGGTGTAAGGATGCTTGATAACTTCCGCCTATTGTAGAGTCCAATGCAATACCGAGAATTTATATTGAAATTTATACTCCATGGTTCTACTAACACACCCCTCGTTGTGTTTATGCTGCTTTTTAAAATTATATTAAATAAACATGATTATATATAAAATTATATCTAAACGTATGTACGTTTCGTTTCAAAGACGGGAGGACAGTACATTTTGAAGACTCTGCCACAATCCAGTTTTCCTCGGTTTTCCTCCGCTTTAATCTCCACAGCTGGAAATGGACGAGCATCCTTGCGTCAAATGCGGAATTTATGCGTGCATATAGCCCGTAATAACCGTTTATGAATTTATTAGAAAATTAAGGCTTCACATTGGTTAGTTTAGTAGCTTGTATCCTGCAGAGTTTAGCTCCAACCATCTCCAGGACACCTGCCTAGAAGTTTTTAGTAATCCTAGAGACTTTGATTAGCTTGTTTAGCTGTGTTTAATTAGGGTTGGAGCTAAATTCTTGCACTATGCCAGCCAACTCATGATTATAATTTCATTATATATAAACATTACTTCTGTAATTTATGTGTAGAAATGTATTAATTACAATTGTATTAGATGTCGCAGTTACACATTTAGTTTGTTGAGAAAAAATATATATATATTCAAATAAACTAATAAATAACATAACATTGACAGGGAAAGGATATTACATTTAAGGGTCACTGTTACATACAATTTACCACATTGTAAAAAGAGACCTGTTACGGGTGTGGTGCTGGCAGATGAAGAGGCAGCAGTCAACAGATCAAATTCAATAATCTTTACTAAATATAAATCAGACAAGGAATCCAGGAAAACATTAACACACCATATACAAATGAGGACCAACCAAGAGTGAGGGAGAACACCGGGTTAACATACACAGAGAACAGGGGAATAAGACACAGCTGGGACACAAATGAACTAGACACAGGTGAAGGAACTAAACAGTAACGAGGAGCGGGAAAATGGAAACAGGACTGAAGGAACGGGGGCAACACAGGACACATGTAACATTACTCCCCCTCCAAAAAAGGCTCGACCTCGCGCCATAGAACATCAATGGGGCGGGAGGGTGGGCGCCCTGGAGGCTGAGGGGGGCAAGGCCAAACTGGAGCAGGAAGCCTCCAGGGCGGATCAGGTAACGCAGGGGCCCAGGGTGGATCTTTTTTCTCAGGTGGCCATGGTGGAGACGTCCCTACAGGTAGCCCATGTCTGTATGTTCAAATTTCATCCAAAATCAGACCAGCCCTTATGGTCTGTAAACGGGCCGAATGTGGCTTAATGTGCCGTGTCTCAGTGCAAATCAGGACAAATCTGCACATCCAAAGCCAATTCTTGCAGAGACTACATTACCTGCGTCAGCCAATAAAATTGTTGTGTTTACACACGTGCTTCCAGCACTGGTCATGCTGATGACGCTCCCCATAATATCAATCCAAGACGCAATGTCTCATTCCCCTTCTCAGGGAACCAGGGTTACAGTCGTAACATGAGATGTTTTTACTGTATTTTTGATGAGAGACTTCTTTCAAAAACCATTTAAAAAAATCGTAATTCTTATTTTTGAACGGAGTATATTCAAATAAAATGTGTAGAAATATATTTTTACATCAGGTCTCACATCAGATACATTTCATTTCATGTCTAAAGTGTTAGACAGTTTTGAAACTATGAGAAAATATAACTTTCAGTATTTGACTTCATTAGTATTTGGCATTTTGACACTCTCCAGAGATATTGAGGTTGTGGGTAGAGGGACGCTTAAGGGGGAAGGAACTTTTTTTCAACCTGTAACTCGGTGGCAAATACAGCCCTGAGGGACTCACCGTGGGTGCAGCACTGAGGCGTTTCACTATTGCTAGAAAGCAAGCTTTTCCCCATTAGTGCAGAAATACGTGTGGATTTAAAAAAGACACTCTGCCATGAAAACAGCTTTATCTGACATTTTTTTGTCAGTAAAATAAGTTGTTTTGGATATCCACCTGCATTCTGCATGTAATATCTTTCTCAGAGACAATAAAAAGACACTTGATGTTTAATAAACAAACAAAAGTTCAAATTAAAATGAGTTTAAAAGTCTTACAATGTGAGTTTGATCAAATTTAAGATCATAAAAATGATATCTTAAATGATATAACATAAATCTTAATAATAATTATAATATTAAAAAATATGATTGAAATAAACTTGAGCACAAAGTAAAAACGTGATGCTGTTGTGCGCTCTACATTGTCACCATTAGTGCAGTAAAAAGTGTGGATTTAAAAAAGACACACTGCCATGAAAACAGCTTTATCTGCCATTTTTAGTCAGTAAAATAATTTATTTTGGATATCCACCTGACTGCTGCATGAAATATCTTTCTCAGAGACAACAAAAAGACAATAATAAATTAATAATAAAAATATGCAATTGAAATAAACTTGAGCACAAAGTAAAAACATGGCGCTGTTGTGCGTTCTCCTTGACGCCATTTCAGAGCAGTTTGCAGTCCATGAATTTATGCCAAATGATTGCTTATTGATGAATTATGTTTATTGTATGGTGTCTCTATTGTAGTATGTTGAAGATAGTTATAAGAGTGCATATTTTATCTCCCCCATATGTTAGAATGAGCAGCTGGAAGTGGTATAGTGCAGACATTTCAAAACATTCCCAGTGTATTTTGAGCTTGAAAATCTATCAATATGTACATTTTACTAGTAATGGCACAGTAATTTGTTGTTTTTTAAACATATTATTGTTGTATCTGCAAACTGCAGTATCGGTTGTCCAGTATCAA